GCACGCATGCATAAATACATACATACATACACATACACATACACATACACATACACATACACATACACATACACATACACATACACATACACGACTGCAGATAGAGATAGACTGCATATCACCGCCAAGCTGCTCGATCGTGTAGGTCAACGGATAGCCCTCGAAGGCTGCACTGAAACCGACGGTGATGTCTCGATCGTCCTGGCCATCCTCCGGAAAGGGACTCTTTAGAGGAACGCGATAATAAAGCCCTATAGTAGCCTTTTGAAGGAACCCTATTGGAGAGCCCGAAAGTAGCCCTTAAAGGAACCCTATTATAGAGCCCTATAGTAGCCGTAAAGGAACCCTACTGTAGAGCCCTATAGTAGCCCTAAAAGCAACGCTATTATAGAGCCCTATAGTAGCCCTTTAAAGGAACCCTACTGTAGAGCCCTAAAGTAGCCCTTAAAGGAACCCTACTATAGAGTCCTGTAGTAGCCCCTGAAGGAACTCGATTGTGGAACCGTATAGTAGCCTGTATAGGTTCGTCATTTAAGTTTCTTGAAGCGGTTGAGGGTTGGGGCTTACTTGGAGGATCATGGGACGAAGTAAGTAAGGTTATAAGTCCCTTAATTGGGGTTATAAGTATAGTTACCTTAATTATAACCCCACTTACTAAGTCCCATGATCCTTTAAGTAGTGCTTCAGAGTAGGTAGTACCGTAAACGAAAACACAAAGGCCTCTGCAGCTCCCTAGGGGTTACCGGGTTGCCAGGAAGGCTTAGAATTCAACATTCTAGAATCCGTACTAAGGTTTAGGGTTTAGGGTTAGGGTTTGGGGTTTAGGGTTTAGGGTTTAGGGTTTAGGGTTTAGCGATTCCTGTAAACCTCTACATTCGATCAAACCCCCCTATGAAACCCATACTGTTGATGGACAAAATTCTGCGTGACCCAAATATAGTAAAGTACCATAAATCCCATAGTTTAGGTATATAGGGTCATGCAGGATTTTGTCCATCAACCGTATCACCCTCTTGGCCAAGCACTTTCTGTCGACCCAGGCTTCGCCCCTAAACCCTAAACCCTAAACCCTAAACCCTAAACCCTAAACCCCAAACCCTAAACCGTCCTTGCAGTTCTTGTAGGTGAAGGTTGCCTCCGTCCGGTCCGGGAACAGAGCCGGAACCGGTTACTTCGGGCTTTAGGCTTTGGGGTTTTTAGGGTTTAGGGTTTAGGGGTTTAGGGTTTAGGGTTTAGGGTTTAGGGGTTTAGGGTTTAGGGTTTAGGGTTTAGAGTTTAGAGTGTAGGGTTTAGGGCTTAGGGTTTAGGGCCTTTAGGGCTTGATGTTTAGGGTTTGGGGTTTTAAGGTTTGCTAAATGGGTAGTTCTCAAAATTAGGGTCCCTTTTTGGGGCCCCAATATAGTACGGCACCCTTATAAAAAGGACCCCAAAAGCGAGCCTAATTTAGAGAACTACCCAAACCTCTGATGCAACCTGGGCAGAAGTGCATTCCGCGAAACGTCATGGGGAAATGCAATCGTGGCGTGAGAGTTGCATAAGGAACGATGTGTCATCATTGCCGAACACAGCCCGCGACGGCACCGAAACACCCTTGCAACGCCAAACCACCTAAACCCTAAACCCCTAAGCTTTTAACCTTAAGCCCCTAAACCCTGAGCCAGGGCGGCCGAACTGCCTCATGCATGAAACTTTCAAGAGACCCCAAAACTCCTGAAGCAAGCAAGAAGTCATAGCAATAATTCATATTATGCAACCCTCTATAGTAGCCCCTCCAGTCAACCCTAAGTACTAAACCCTAAACAGGGTATGCTCCTTGATTTGAAGGATGTTCCGACACTGGGCCGTTTTGGAGGCTCTGGGCAGAAGAGATGCCCTGTAGGCACTCACCAGATGCAATCGAGGTGCGGTGCACTCCTCCTTCCTCATTCCCTGCGGAGGCTTCGTACGTTCGGGGTCCAGGGTTTCGGGTTTAGGGTCCTGTTTTGGGTGTTCTGGTACAAAGGACCCTACTATCCAGGGTCTTTTAGTCAGGAACCTATGCTGAGTACAACAGCGCCATACGGGTTGTTGGTTGTGCACTCAGATTTCGGGGAGAGACATTGAACGATACCATAAACCCCAAACCCTAAACCCTAAACCCTAGACCCTACCTGTGGGGCTTGGGGTGCAGGGCTTGGGACTTGGGGGTTTAAGGGTTCGGAGCGTGCTGCATTGGGGGTCTGTAAGGAGTACGAGTGGCCATGATGATGCAAGACATGGACAAAGCTTGAACATGCCCCGAAACCCTTAAACCCCCCAAAAAACCTGAAAGCCTACGGCCCTACACCCTAAAACCCTCAACTCCAACAACCCTTGAGCCCTTGGCCTCAGCCCAGAAACCTGCACGTTGGTCTGACTCCCTGCCATGTTCAACCTTGAAAGCGCAGACAACAGAGGACACGATCATCCTTGGTTCAGAGTTTAGGGTTCAGGGTAAACCCTAAACCCTAAACCCTAAAACCTAAATCCTAAAACCTGAACCCTGAACCTAAAACCTTGAATCGTTAAACCCCTTTCCTCTTCTCAAATGAAAGCATCCCCTTGCAAAACCCTCTAATTACATGCCAAATACCATCCTAAGATCTCCCTGAGCCCTAAACCCTAGTAAGCCGAAACCCCAGACCCTAAACCCCTACTCCCTAAACCCCGGAACCCTAAACCCCCAATATCCGAGCAGTCCTTACCAAACCCTAAACCCTAAACCCTAAACCCTAAACCCTAAACCCTAAACCCTAAACCCTAAACTCTAAACCCTAAACCCTAAACTCTAAACCCTAAACCCTAAACCGTTATCTTCGTCTCGCGCCAGCCTTCTTCTTCTCTGGTGGGAGAATCTTCCTTGGCTGACTTCTGAACCCCTCCTAAAAGTTAAACTTTTACCTCCCTCATATAAAAACCCAAAAAGCCAAGCAAAAGAACGTCCAGAAATTCTGGTTCTATATGGTTATATAGGGGTTATAGTCCTTAAAACTTTAAAATAATTTCCAAGAGCGCCAAGACCCTAAACCCTAAACCCTAAACCCTAAACCCTAAACCCTAAAGAACGCCAAGCTTCTTATACGCCGAGATCTGGCCCGTGCAGTTGCTGGCCTTCTGGTACTCCATCGAACCTCGGAGTGGTTCCTTAAAAGGGTTACTATAAGGGTTTCTATAAGGGCTATTATAAGGGTTTAGGGTGTAGGGGCCTTAATAAATAGAACAGGGTTTGAGGGTTCAGAGTGTAGGGTTTTTTGTTTCTTTGAGCGTAGGGTTTAGGGGTTTAGGGGTTTTAGGGTTTAGGGGTTTTAGGGTTTAGGGTTTAGGGTTTAGGGGTTAGGGGTTCGGAGTGTAGGGTTTTTTGTTTCTTTGAGCGTAGGGTTTAGGGGTTTAGGGGTTTTAGGGTTTAGGGTTTAGGGTTTTTGGTTTAGGGTTTAGGGTTTAGGCGGAGGAAAGGAAAGGAGCAGTCGTTGTCCGTGAAGGCAAGGCAGCTGTCGCATGGGCTGTCTTCCTGGGTCATGGCATTCGTGGTTTAGGGTTCCACGGCTCAGGTTCTAGAGCTTAGGGTTCTAAACCCTAAACCCTAAACCCTAAACCCTAAACCGAACTGGTATCTTTTCCAGGCTTTTGTGTCTGGGTTTCATAAGGACTCGGGTGTTCGAAGGGTTCGTATTAGGATCTTCGTGGGGTTTGTATAGGCCCTTGAGTTTAGGGTTGAGGGCTTAGGGCTTAGGGTTTTGGCTTAAGGGTTTAGGGCTTAGAGTTTAGGGCTTAGGGCTTAGGGTTTGGGGCTTAGGGCTTAGGGTTTAGGGCTTAGGGCTTAGGGCTTAGGGCTTAGGGTTCTGCTCCCGGGTTCGTCTCTCGAAATTCGTGCAGAGCCTCTTGCTCTTGACGTCCTTTGGTCTGAACCGAAGCTCTTGGCTTTTTGGAGATAAGGGCCTTAACAGTTGGTGTAGGGTTCAGGGTTTAGGGTTTAGGGTTTAGGGTTTAGGGTTTAGGGTTTCGGGCTCCTCTGCACCACAACAAATTAAATATAGTAAGGAACTTACACAATGACGTTGGTAATTACTGAGGCTGCTACAATGCTCCGAGTTAAGACGAACTTTTGCCTTGGTAAGTATTGTAGGGGCCGTAATGATTAGAATAGGGTTTTGGGGCGGATATTATACTATAATCATAAACAGGAACCCCCAAAATAGTATAGGTAAGTATTGAGGCCCCTGCAATGTTGGGGGGGTTCTGGGGCATCTCCATCCTCCGAAGTACCCTGGGCCCTAGGTCTTTTCTAGCTAGGTGGGGTTTTGGGGTTTGGGGTTGTGGGTGTAGTTAGGGTTTAGGGGTTTAGGGTTTAGGGTTTTAAGGTTTAGGGCTTGGGGTTTAAGGTTTAAGGTTTCAGCCCTAGGCGCAAAGGTCACGAAGGCCTTGCAGTCCTCATTCCTCAGCTGCATGGCGTTTGGGGCTGAGCTGAAGGCATCGCTGCACGCTAAGCCCGAAATTTGCAACTCTAACCCTAAACCCTAAAAAAAAACCTAAAACCCTAAACCCTAAACCCCTAAACCCCTAAACCCTAAACCCCAAAAAGACGCGACACTCGTAGACTCGAAACCCGAATAATGTTAGACCGCACTAACATCCAAAATCGGCGGAAGCCCATACCCTAAGGGTCCAAGTACCTAGTAGTCATATACTCTCCCAAATAGTACCATAACTACTATCCGAAACCTAAGTACCTGATTCTTGGGTCCTTGGACCCTTGGGGGTAAGTAACTTGAATCTAAACCGAACCCTCTAGACTGCTTCATAGAGCCCTATATCTGGGCTTTGAAGTAACCAGGGAAAACAAGTATAGACTTTTACCCAAAAAACAGTATTAAAGTATGGTACCCTAAAGCCCAGATATCTCTATTCAACAAAACTCTCGATGCGCCAACCCTGAAACCCTGAAATCTGAGCTCGTCCCGAAGTAGATCCACAAGCCCGAAACCCTGAAATCTGAAAGGAACATTCGTAGAAGCCCGTTTAGTACCCGTTTAAGAATCGCCGTAGCAAAACTTACGAAAGCAGGACTCTGACAAACCCTATTCAAAAAGCGGATGAAACCCTGATCTAGAGCAAAACCCCTGTACAACAACCCTGCTTGGCCCGAGTACCGAGTTGATGAGTGCACCACTGTGAAACGCAATGAAGCACTGCACAAAACAACAGTATGAAACCCTAAACCCTAAGCACATCTAAACCCTAAGAAACCCCACCCTAAACCCTAAGAAACCCTAAACCCTAAACCCTAAACCCTAAGAAAACCGAAGAAACCCAAAACCCTAACAAACCCTAAGAAACCCTAAAAAACCCTAAACCCTAAGAAAACCTAAACCCTAAACCCTAAGAAACCCTAAACCCTAAGAAACCCTAAACCCTAAGAAACCCTAAACCCGAAACCCTAAACCCTAAACCCTCAGAAACCCTAAACCCTAAACCCGAAACCCGAAACCCTAAACTCTCAGAAACCCTAAACCCTAAACCCTAAACCCTAAACCTAAGAAACCCTAAACCGGCCGAGTTGCTGCGTGCACCACTCCTGGCACTGCTCCGGGGAGTCCTTGCTGCGATAGGACTCCTCGCCGCAGGAGACGCCTCGGCGCAAGGGCACTGGCGCTTGGGTTTAGGGCTTCGTGTTTTGGGTTTAGGGTTGAGGGCTTAGGGTTTTGGGTTTAGGGCTTAGGGTTTAGGGTTTAGGGCTTGGGGTTTAGGGCTTGGGGTTTGGGGTTTAAGGCTTCGGGTTTAGGGTTTAGGCTTTCGGGTTTAGGCTTCAGGGTTTAGGGCTTCAGGTTTTGGGTTTTGGGTTTAGGGTTTAAGCTTTAGGGCTTTGGGCTTCGGGTTTAGGGTTTAGGGTTTAGTTGTGCTGTTTTTCAATGTTGATGGTTTCATCAAGCGTTTAGGGTGTGGGGCTCCATGAAGGTCTTTGCAGGGGGTTAATGAGACGGGGTTTGGGCTTTGACAAGGGTGTTTTGAAGGATTCAGGGTTTCATAGTTTGGTTGCCAGGGCTTCGGGTAGCGAAGAAGCGAGCGGGGCATGGAAGCCAGTAAACGACACGGCTCCATTCATGGCGGCGGCGGGAAGTGCAGCAGCAGCAGCAGCAGCAGCGGCAGCAGCAGCAGCAGCAGCGGCAGAGGAGTGGAGCACCGAAAATGGTGGCGAGGAGCAGCCTTGTTGTGACCCGGAATGAAAGGGGGAAGCATCGATGCTGCAGCGGGCGGGGAGTACCATGGCTCCGACCCGACACGAGTCCGATGAGCGTGTGCCCACCCTGCCTTTGCACAGGCGGGATGTGAGCTGTCCGGCAGAACCCTAAACCCCAAACCCTAAACCCAAAAACTGCCTTAAACCGCACATCTGTGCAAGGTCGGGTCCGGCAGAACACAAAACTTGCCTTAAACCCCACATGAAAGTGCCTTGAACTGCAAATCCAAAGATTGCCGCAAGCCGCAATTGCATCAAGGCTCAAATACCTATGTAAGAGAGGCTTTCGGGTTTAGGGTTCGGGCTTGAACCCAGAAAAACCCTAGACCCCTAAACCCCTAAACCCTAAACCCCTAAACCGCTAAACCCCTAAACGCTAAACCCTTAAAACCCCCAAACCCCATACCCTAAACCCCTTCAACCCTAAACCCCTAAAACCCCTAAACCCTAAACCCAAAGCCCCGAAACCCTAAACCCTTAAACCCTAAACCCTATACAAGCTTCAAAGGCACCTGCTCCCACCTTGCTGTACGTCACCTGGGCCACCTCCTCCTCTTCACCCGCTTTCGACTCCTGGCTTGGGTAGAGGGGTCGGAGCCCAGGATTTTTGGTTTAAGGGCTTTGAGTTTAGGGTTTAGAGTTTAGGAGTTAGGGTTTTTGGTTTAAGGGCTTAGAGTTTAGGGTTTAGGATTTGGGGTTTAGGAATGTTTAGGAGTTAGGGTTTGGGGGTCCGAAGTAAGGGTTTAGGGTTTAGGGTTTAGAGTTTAGGGCTTAGGGTTTGGAGTTTATGCTTTAGGGTTTAGGGTTTAGGAGTTAGGGTTCTGGGTTTTGGGTTTAGAGTTTGGGGTTTAGGGCCCTTTCTCCCAGGATCCGGCCCGCCTGCTGGGGTTTGGGGCTTGGGGTGTAGGGTTTCGGGGCGTAGGGTTTGCGGCTTAATTAGGGTCTAGGGTGTCGGTTTCAGGGTTTGGGGGCGGCTAGGTTTCACAGGGTTGTATTCAAGTTCCGGTGGGTTTTCACAGGGCTTGGAGGGTTTTATACCGCGATTTAATAAGCCCAGACCCCCAAAAGGATCTAAAAAATAGATCCCCTAATTAGGGACCCTAACTACTAAAGGGTACTTTATAGGAGGATCTATTTTTGAGATCCTTTTGGGGGTCTGGGAGGTGGTTAGACAGGTCTGTGGGGTTTTTCAGAGCTTTCGTCGGGCGCTGCAGGGCCGCTGTCGCGCTTTCAGGTTTCAAGGATCCCCAGCAGCTTTTTTGCAGTTGCCCCAGGGTTTAGGATTTTGAGGTTCTCGAGGGTTTCAGGGTTTTGGGGTTTTGGGGTTTTAGGTTTAGGGTTTAGGGTTTAGGGTTTAGGGTTTAGGATTTACGGTTTAGGGTTTAGGGTTTAGGGATTTTGGGGGTTCAGGGGTTAGGGTTTAGGGTGCCTCTTCATGGCACCCTGCTGACTCATACAGTATGAAGAAAGCTCAGGAGCAATCATGGCTTCTCAGAGACTCCCTGGCCAAGGCCCTTGGTTTAGGGTTTAGGGTTTAGGGTTTTGGTTCTCAACTATCGTCGGAGCCCTCCCAAAAGTTGCAATGAATATGCCTCGCAAAACTGCAGGGCTTCGAAGTCTATGGTTTCCCTCCCAATGCCACCTCCGCGAAGCAGGCATCATTGCAGTGCCCCCACTTGCCGCCGATATAGTGACCTCATCTTGTGGGCAAGGAAGCAAGTTCACCCCAAACCCCAAACCCTAAACCCCAAACCCAAAACGCCGCAGAGATCGGGGCCGAGACCGTTTGCATCCGTCTCCGTAGCACACCACTTTGCCGAAGCCTCGCAGGAAGCACTGGGAGGCTTCAGGGTTGAGGCTTTTAA